GGGGGGCGGGGGGGGGGGGGGGGACCAGTGGTGGGCTAAGGTGTGTGTTCCTGCCCCCAGCCTCTCACAAGCAGGCAGCTGGGGAGGGCTGAGGCAATGGGGGAGGCTGTGGGAGAGTAAAAAGCCCCTATGGCGAGGGTTTTCCCTCCCCTCCGGGTGCGCAGACCTCAGCTGGGGGACCTTGGGGTTCATTCCACTGTGCCCCATCTCGCTGGGCTGACAAGTACAGACAGAAGCAGGCTAGGGAGCAGAGGCTTTACTGCCGCTACTTTGTGACAGCTGTGGGTAGAGTGGTTCGCTGAAGCAGACAGCACAGACCATGGCTGCAAAGCATCCTGGGATGCTGGGGGACTATGAGTTAACTAGGAGTTAAGCTTGAGACTGCATCCATCCAGCTTTATCATAAACTGGGTTTGGCCATTTTGAAAGCAGTTTATGTACACTGAACTTGCGTTCTGTCATAGATTAAAACCGGTTTCTGATCACTTAGCCCAGTTTGTGTGTACCCTCTGTCCCTAGCCAAAGGGTTCAGTAACTTCCCTATCAGGGTGGATAAAAACTTACGACTTTTTGTTAAGATGCTTTTTTTAAAAAGCAAACCTATATAAAGATAGTTTCAATTTAAGATATGTTAAAGCTCAAAAGATATCATCATAGAATAGGGATTATAACTTCTAATATATATTGTATTTGAGACCATATATTCATATAACCTTTTTAGAAAAGTTTTATAAAATACATCAGAACGGGCCATGGACTATATTGGGGCCCAGTTGTATGGGGTCCTCAGAGGCTCCTCTATAAATTAGTCAAAATTAAAAAAAAAAAAAAACACTCTACCCAATGAGACTCAGTGTTCAGTCTAGAAGATCCCATTAAGCATCTCTGTGATGTTTAGTTTCAGTTGTCAAACTGTGGATTTGTCTCTCCAAAGATAACATCCTTGTTAACAGCAGTATATGGAGATGAGAGAACAGCTCTGATTACCTATCCATCAGACCTGTTGTGTCTGCAAGTTTGTGTACACTTAGTCAAGCCCCTGCCTCTCTCTAAAAGTGCAAAGTTTCAAGAAATTAAACAAATAGAGGATTGTTGGAGGTGGAGTAGATCTGGGCAAGGAGAAGCATGGGGATAAATGCAAGGAGGGAGGGGCAGTAGAAACAAAAGAGAAACATTTTGAGCAAAATATTCCAGAAGTCTTGAGGGATAGGTTTCTGAGTATAGCCTTTCCACTAATTTGAGATCTAGTGAGGGAATGGTATAGTAGAAGGGAAAACCTATCATCATGGCAGCAGGCTTGCCAGGCTGTAAAGGAGAGAAGAAGTCAAAGATGAGAAGAAATCTAGAAGAAAAAGTGAAGAAAGCCCTAAGCTAATAACACACAGATGCAGTGCTGTCCTCCTAATACAGCATGGCAAAAATATCCCCCAAATATCCATGATTAATCTAGTAAATTGGAGATAGTTGTGAAGTCATTGGGAGGTGAACTATCTGCTTCAATTAGCTTTGGTAAATAAAATAACCAAATCATAAATTCAGTTTCCTGATGTTGCTGCAAAATTAATCTGAAAAAAAAAATCTCAGAATAAATCACTGCTTTAAAACAGAGTGTGTACCTTCTAAAAATACAACATACATCTCTCTCTGAGTTGTCTGGTATAACCTTAAAACATATTATTCACAACAAGAATGCACTTTTTGTAGAAGACACTGATTAAATTGAGGCTTCCTGACCAGTGATTTAAATTGATTTGATTTAAATCAAAGCCACCCTATGCCCTATTGAAAACACGAAGGAACTGAAGAAGGATTTGAGACAATTTGGTTTGGTATTTTTATTTCTTGTTCCCCTCTGCCCCTCCAGTTTCCTTCTTTTCATACATTACACATTTGAACCACATACAACTCTGACATGTTTGCGGACTATAGCAGTTTCCACTGCACATATAATTTACAAACTGCCCCTTAAACTGGTAAACAAATAGCTCTACCAAATCCATAGATATTATAGTAGTACAGATTCAAGGGTTATTGCATGTCAACCCACGTCACCTTTGGTCATCTGGAGGGCAGTAAATATCTAGTTACCATTTGAGCTGTCCAGTAAAGCATCAGATTAAAATGTCAAAGATTAGTGTCCAAAAATAGTTTTATTTTAAAGAAAGCACAGGCTTTCTGACATTGTGGGAGCCTGCATTTTCATAATATTCAAAGTTTAAACCAGCAATATTCCAATGCTGTCAGCAACTTTAAATAAGTCAGTAAGTTATAGGAAATGCCTGACCACTTCTAAAGAAGTAGCTGGGGAAAATCTGCTTTTCTGAAGAGTAATGAGCAATTAGTGTTTTACATGACATGCAGATCCAAGTTATCCTTTGGTAAAGTTATGCCTAGTCAAATCTCTTGTTTATAAAGGTACTCTCTGAACAACCACTTGATGCATTCATTGTCCCCAAACTTATCTTCTGCTCAGAACGAACACTTCTAGAACAGTAAATGGATAGTTACGCACAGGCGCCGGCTTTGTTTTTGGCCAGTGGACGTTTGCAGTACGTTAAAAAAAAACAACCAAAAAACAAAAACCAACCCCCCGACCCCAGCATCTACTCAGCACGTTTGTGTCAAGGCCCATGCATGCCCAGAAGAGGCAGTGTGTTACTTCGACCCGGCTCTGCAGCACCTGTAAAGATCGGGCGCTTTAGTGGGGCTTTTATCTAATAACTGATTAAATTGGCTTTAGCTAGAAGCACCAAAAAGCCCCACAGAAGTGCCCCTTCTTTACAGACACTGCAGAGCCGGGTCGAAATCACATGCTGCTTCTCCTGGGAAAGCGTAGTTTTTTTTAGTCTGTTTTTATTTAAGCATGGCTCCATGGATGCTGAGGACCCGCTACTTTTTTTCGGTGGGTGCTTGAGCCCCAGAGCACCCTTGGAGTTGGTGCCTGTGTAGTCATGTGTATTGGGGAGGTGAACACACTCAAAAAGTAGCTACCAAAAAGCTGAACCCCTGAAGATCACTAAGAAGTGAAGAAGTGCTGGATGAGAGCAGCTGAGAAGCCCACCCATGGAACACTTCTGGTAGGACGGGAGAATTAGGAAGGAGGAACAGTTCCCAGGCAATTTGGATCAACAGAAAGAAGGAAAAAGTCACACAAATGCCAAGAACCCCAGAGCAGATGGAAAAAAATCACTGCCCAGGCTGAAACACAAAGGGCCTGTAAAAGCTTTCAACATACAGCATTCGACAAACCAGTCTGAGGCAGTGAAGATCATTGGGTCTTTTTTGTATTTACTCTATCAATTTCATTTTTCTAAAAAGCAAATTCTACCTTGTGTGCAACAGAAAAAGTCCCTCCTTCTTTTTTGATCAAAATCTCTTTGGCAGGAATCCTACTCCCAGTTACTCCATTCCTGCTTTTACAGCAGGAAAGCAGCACAGAGGTTGGAGAAAGGGGATTTGAAGCCACCTTTGCTCCTAGCATATTCTGAGACAGTTGAGGGTTTGCCTGCTCCTAATGGCTGCTCTGCTTCTCTGTGTCCTGCATGGGATCTTGGAAGTAGAGGACAGGGCAGGACAACGTGCTGTGGCCATACCAGACGTGATAACGAAGTGGGCTGCGTGGATGGCGTCGGGTACAGGAACCAACTGTCTCTGCACTCAGACATAAGACCTTGAAGGTCTCCCTATAGTTCTGCTGCCTCAGTGCATCGGGGGGCTGTCTAGTAATCTCCACGTGAGGATTAGGAATAGAAACATGAATACGAAAAAAAAGCCTCCCACAGGGCATGATTCAGCCCATCAACAGGGCATAAAAAAAGGGGGAGACCCCCAAGGCACAGGAATTGGATAGAAAGTACATGATACATCTTAAACCCAGTGTTAAAACATACGCTGTGGGGCAGGTCCCCCTTAGAAGCAAGGGTGATACAAAAAGGTCTCAATGCAAAACAGCCCTGAGCCCTCCTTCAGCACACGGCAAGCCCTGTGCAGCTGTTCAGCTGTTTGCAAAGGAAAAACAAAAAACAAAAAAACCACTATTTCTCCTCTAAAATCAAGATATTAAAATATTTGTTTTCGTTGAAAAGATAGATTGAGTCTTGTGACTCGTTATTTACTATTCTGGTAACGCTGGCTGCATCTGCAACTGATAGTGTTTCCTCCGAGAGCGATCAGATTCCATTGGCCGCCTGCCAGCAGGCATGTGACTGCAGTAAAGGGAACCCTCAATACCAGACATGTAAGTAATGGCACAGAAACCAAGGGCAAGGATTAACTGCATTCAGACTCTGCAAACAGGGGGGAGGAAATTAACTCCTTTCACTTCTCTGCAGTGTTTTCTTAACTAAACTACATGGATTTGAAAAACAGAGAAGACAATTAAAAATTGACGCTCTAACAGATCATTATCCACGGTCTGTAGCGAGTGCCGTATTTAGCAAAACCACCTCCCCCCTGCCATTTGGACCCCAACTTCCCCAATTCAGCACACACCTCAGCATCTTAAAGTGACAAGTCAGGAAAAGTTCAGTTAATGAGCGACTCTGTTCTTGGGAAGGTTCCAGTATGTTTAAAATAGTTTTAATTTAGAAATGCTTCTGGGAGGCTGAACTTTTGCCTGGGCTGTGCAGACACACACAGGCACTCTGGAGTGGGGAAGCTGCAGGCCCCTGAGCACACAGGGTGTTTGGGGCAAATTCTGCAGAAAATACCTTCCTGCCTACAAGGTTTCTCACCTGAAAATAATTAGCTGCAACCAAACAGCATTCACAGCCCTCTCCCGGGGTGGGGCCACATGGTCCTGTGGGCACGTCTCATGGTGCTGATTTTGAACGCAGCATTGTGCTCTTTTGAGGCAGAACTGCTGCTGAAGCAGCGTTCCCTACACAAGACCATGAGTTCTGTTTTTTATTTCCTGTGCTGTACTTCCCATGTTACCTGGTGCAAATCACTTCATCCTTCTTTTTTTATTTCCACTGCTGTACTGGGCTCAGAGACCCTGGTGCAGCTAAGATGCCATTGCGTGAGGCACTGTATGAACAAGGAACAAAAAAATATGGCCCCTACCCCAACAAGTGGCTCTGTGCCTCAGTTTCTCCACCTATAAAACACTTCCCAGCATTGCCTGGGCACAGCAGAGTATTGCTTTGTTCGTACACATAAAAAGGGACCACTGGGAGTGCCCTGAAAATGAAGTACTATCAAAGCACAATTCTACTTCTTTGTTAAATTCACTTCCATGCTCCCCTCACTCCTCTCCTCTCCATAAAAACAGGTATTTTCTTTAGAAAGGATGGAAACAAACAAGCAAGCAAGCACTGCAGGTGTTTGGACTAGGAGCACTGGGGTTTTTTGCCCCCGCACTCCAGGCTGCTCTGGGACACTGCAGACTCACACACCTTGCTGCAGCAGACACAGTGCAAGGTGCTACGCTGGGCCATTAATTTCTGAGGGCTCACCACTGAAGTCAGCAGGGTAATCTTGTTAAAAATGGCCTAAGTTTGGCTGTAAACATGCCAGGGGAGGGAGTTCCCTTCATCTGTCCTTAATGCTTCCTCACTGTTTTGCATATTTACCACACCACAGTGATGCCACATGAGTATTAGTCAGACGCATAATCAGCATTATCAATGCACTCCACTACCCCAGAGGGCTCTGAGGGTGTCTGAAAAGCTGCTGTATTTGAATAAGCATATTTCATAAAGCACATGTTTGAACATCTGACAGTTAAAGAGAGCCTCGAGCCTCTAAGGCAAGTGCCAGGAGTGAAACCCCCCAGTACTTTTAAACAAACCTTTTTTTTTTTTAAAAAGGGGTATTAAAAGATGAAGTGATGCCAGGCAGCCCTGGTGCTCAACACCCAGCCTGCAACTCGCTCACTAACATCTGTGATCGGCGGCAGGAAATAGTGTCTGCCGGGGCCTCTTGCTAAGACTGCGTCGCTTCCCTCAGTCTCAGATAACAGCAGCAAACAAAGGCGCAGCTTCTTCCTTACATGCAGGCAGGTAAATGTAGAAAACCTTTGCACCAAATCATCTCCCACAGCAGCACAAAGTTAGCCTAAAGCCATTTTTTCCAGCTGCTGGATGATCTTCCCTACGTCAGTACATCTCAGGGGCCAGTGCAAACCCTGACATTCCCATTACTCCTGTGGGCAACAGAGGAGGGGAGTGTGGTCAGGGAATTGCAAGTGTGATGGGTGCGTATCCCCAGGGATTCACGGGCTGCTCAAAAGGCCTCAAGGGACCAGTGGGAGCTGGCGTACACTACAGCGCCTTCCATGACCAAAGAAAATCCTTTACAATCTAGCTTGCCCCGCGTCTTTAATAGGCACCACCATAAAATGAACATAATTAAAAAAAACCAGAGCAACTTCACTAGAACTGTTTGTATTCTGGAAAGAAACAGGGGGAAGGGGAGGAAGAGCAAGAAGGGTCTCAGTTAAAAAAAAAAAAAAAGTCTCCGTTTCCTTAGCTTAGGAAAACCAAGCATTTTGGAAGTGATGGAATAATATCCTGGGAAGGTAGAAAAGGGAAAAGCAAAACATTGCCATAGTCTACTCACTGCAGAATTAACGGAAAGCATAAGGAGGGCAATACAGGCAAAACACAAAGTAGGTAACAGGGGACGCTGCTCACAGTCATAATGAGGATATTTCCCTGGTGATTTCCATCTCTATCTGCTGACCAAGGCAGATATTTAAATGCCACCTGCTCATTGTTACCTGACTTGAGGAGTAGGTTGATTGATTATTTGATAGTGGAAATAGGGGGTCACAAGCTCAGCTCATCTAGAAGAAATCTGAACTGCTCCACTGATTTCTGGAAGCAATGCTGATTTACACCGGCAATGGGATGCATTAGCAATGCTATCAGAATGGCAGAGGCATCTGCTGACTAGTGCACAAGCTGACTCCTATTTTCAAAGGAGCTAAAAGGCGTTTCATTTGATCCAAAATCTGACCAGTGCCAGAATCTAATGCTAAGTATGTACGTGCACTGCTCACATTATGACACATTTGGTCAGGAAAAAAAAGAAGAACAAAAATCACATGTTTTTTTGTTTCACAAAAAGGCACTCTTACAACACAACGTGACAACTTGACCCTGCACAGGGAAGCAAGGCTCCAAAGGGCTGTAGAAATCAGCTGCAAGTGGGGTGTTCACAGCACTCATGCCTCTTATGAGGCATAGTTAAAAAAAATATTATCAAAAAGAAGGCTGCTGCCCAAGGAAATTCATTTGTATGAAAATATACTGGCTCGAATTCACCCAGTGACGCTGCCATGGAACAATATTTACAGCACCATGGAAACCTCGGCACAGAACTGGTAATGCACATAGGCGTCCGCAGAGGGTTACGCAATCTGTGTCATGTGAACCATCACATTTTATACTGTTTTAAAGGCTCCGCCAAAAAGGCTGCCAATCTTGCGCTACAAAGTGGGGCATTTTATTTTCTTCGTCTGCATGCATCATCAGGCTCACTGCAGCCTTTGCTTTCTTAGTTTAACCTGTAAGTGTCATTACACTGCAGCTGGAGCTCAACCAAACAACTTATG